ATATATTTTTATCACATTTTAAAAGGATTTCATTATTTTTGAAAAAAATTCCCGCTACAATAAAATGGTTTATTCTTTTGAAAAAGAAAAAAAAAAAAACTCAATTGAACACCAAAATTTCTTCCCGACTTTTTCAAAAACTTAATATGATTTTATTATATTTCTTGATGCGTCTTTTCACGCGTTCGACTTTGAAATGTGAATAATGCAAGTACTAAGATGTTAGTACAAAATTGCGTGATGCTCGAGGAAATATAATATGTTTTCCCCAAATGAGAGGCAAGATTAATAGATTATAATGTTCAGTATAAGCATTTAATATTGAGGAATGTTATATTTATAAAGGAAAAAATACGTTTATAAATTTTTTTTATAAATTATATTTTGTATTCTCGGAAAAACATAATGTAACTTAATGTTCTTCTGGGAGAATACATTATAGTTTGTAAACAAAAAAGTTTATAAATATAACTGATCTTCCCATTTATAAATTTTTATAAATTATATTATATCTTATCAATAAGTTATTTTTTTGTCTTATTGGTAAGTCACTTTTGAGTAAAGTCTTATCAGTAAGATATAATATAATTTGTAAGTTTGTAAAAATAATTTGTCAATATAACTTTTCTTTTCAATATTAGTTATAAAATTTCGAAACCTAACGAAAACGCAAATCATTAATTTTCACTAATATGAGGATTTTGATTTTTTTCATGTAAAAAATGATTATATGATCATATCATTTAATCATGATTACTTATTTAACAATCATATACTTTTTTCTCACTATTATTTTATTATTAATAAGTGATTATAATTAAATAATATGATCACATCTTCACGGATCCAAATTCCTAACTCAGCCGGCCAGGTGTTTCAGGAGAAAAACACGTTAAATATGGCTCAACGTGGCTTTCCCCAAACATGTTTAGTATTCAGCAAGACGACGAAACCCAAGAAGAAGGCAAGTTTAGAATAGTCAAACGGTAGTTTGAGCATTTAATTTTTGCTATAAAATTTCCGAACTCAACCAAACAGCAATCTATTCTCTCACTTCTGGTCAAGCCAGTATTTAAAGGAGGACAAAATCACGTCAAACATGACTCAACGTGCATTTTCCCAAACATTTAGACCGTGTATAGGTTTAAAAAAATAATGTTAAAAAATTGATTCATATTTGAGAATGATATTTTAAAAATGAATTTTTTTGGATAGTAAAATAAAATTATTTTTTAAGTATAATTTTAATAACCCAAAACTTTAACTAAACGTTTATTTTTCGAAGAAATTTACATGGCCTCAAATGTGACTTTAAGTACTGATACTTTGATGATCAAACTCCCGTTTGGACAGCGCAATCATGCACGGTGCACTGTGTTTCGTTAACAAACACGTGCTCTGCTTCCGCGCACCCATCTTTTTATATCAGCCAAGCCAAAACGTGAATTTAGTTGATCAATATAAAAATCAAACTGATCAATGCGCATGCACTGCAGTCCTTATTCTTTTTCTTTTCCCCGTTTTTTGAATGCAGTCCTTATTGCTTTAAATAAAACTATATGCTAGTACAGAATCATGTGACTTTCCTTTAATTTTAAGCATTTTGATGTAATGAAGGTTGAGGATATTCTTTTATCCATGGTACAATACTCCAACTACGGTTTTAGCATTTTGATTACTGAAGATTGAGGATATTCTTTTATCCATGGAACAAAACTCCAACTAATCCTGAATGTTTATTATCATTTTGGGGTTTTAAAATGATAATTATATATTTTGACATTTTTTTAAAAGAGTTTTTGATTATTTCACCTTGAGGTCAAACCTCTGGACAATGATAATGATAATGATAATGATAATGATACTGATACTTTTATTGGTGCGGTTTTTGTGATGCAACTTTTTCTGCTTAACAATGAAAACATGTCCAGCCAACAACTTTGCTAAATAATTTGTTCTCCTTAGTTACAGGTTTTGAGAAAAAAAAAAGTTTTAATTGGATTTATTAAATATCTGATAAACCGATTAGAAAACAAAAATCATGTCCATTCCCCTTCATTTGTGGTATCATGTTTTCGAAAACACATATATATGGAGAAGTATCCTTTTACAATTTTCTTTTACAAATTACACTAAGTATGACCGGTCATACACTCTTGATTGAAGTATGACCGATCATACTTAGTGTAGTTTGTAAAAATTTATAAACTTAAAGTTTTTAAATACAAACTCTTACAACCATATCTTAACTGCTGATTTCCACCAATCAACGGTTATCATTTATTGTGAATTAATAATTAATTAATAAATTTAATTTGTGAAAATCTGAACCGTTGATTGACGGAAATCAACGGTTAAGATATGATTGTAAGAAGTTGTAAACGAAAATAGGTTATATATATATATATATATATATATATATTGGAAAAATGTTTGTCATTTTAAATGACATAACACTCTGTCCTTTTAAGGGAGAGACGACACAGAAAAAAGAATTTTATTTAAATTTTAAATTAAAAAAATCACACACTTTCTCTCTTCCATGATTTTCACTTTTATGTGTCTATCTCTCTCCTAAAATGACATAACTTATGTCATTTAAAATGACAAACACTAAACCCTATATATATATATATATATATATATATATGAGGCAGAATCTTCTTACACCGGTGTAAGAGTAATCTTAACCGTTGATTTTCGCATATCTAACGGTTATAATTAATAATTAATTAATGAGAATAATCTAATTAATTACATTCGTTTGATGAACGGAAATCAACGGTTAAGATTGAGTGTAAGAATTATTACTCTTATACTGGTGTAAGTTGATCCTCTCTCTCTATATAATATATATATATATATATGTTCACAACCAACTTTTTTGGTGGTAAGTATATCATGCCCCTTACTCTTTGGGGAAGGATATACTTATCACCAAAAAAGTTTATCACTTTTACAACCAACTTAATCATCGTTGATTTTCGTCAATCTAAAGGTTATAATTTATTGAATTTAATGAGAATTAATAATTAATTAATAAATGCGACCCAATAATTTTCAATATATTATAATCGTTAGATTGATGGAAATCAACGGTGATTAAGTTAGTTGTAAAAGTGGTAAACTTTTTTGGTGGCAAGTATATCATGTCCCCTTATTAATCGTATAATTTGTTTTTGGAGAAGGACGAAATAACATTTGAAAATTTCGTTCTTGCTTAGGACTAATTTGTCAAAATACCATCAAAGAATATAAATAACAAAAGCGACATAATGAAAATTTCGATAAAGATAAATAGTTCGTTTTCAAAATTCAACGCACAGGGAGACACAATTGGTCCACTGCTATCGTCCTAATACGTTTTAATAAGTCATAACCTTATCCCCAGTTCCCTACCTTCCTCTCTCTCTAAAAAGGAAAGTTTTATTTGCACGAAAGAGATGCTATATAGGGTAAAGTTGCATTCACCGTAGAATGCAGACCAATCACGGTAAGAATTGAAAATTTAATTAAGCCTCAGGATAAAGAAAAGAAAAAAACCATAAAAAGTGGTTGAAAATGATATATAACAATAAAAGTTAAAAAAAAAACCTGTTGAGATATATAGTCCCACATTGGTTGTACGTGCAACTAATATGAAGTTTATAAGCCCTTGGCCACTCCCACCGTTTGAACTAGCTTTTGGGGTGGTGTATCCCAAGGTTCTTAACATGGTATCAGAGCCTCGCCGCCCGCCACTTTCTCTTGTAGCGTTTCTTAGCACAGGTAGGCTGAGCCTGTTGCATTTGTCCACTCTTCAAGCCCAATGAGCTTTCGTGTGAGGGGGCGTGCTGAGATATATAGTCCCACATTGGTTGTATGTGTAACTAATGTGAAGTTTATAAGGCCTTGGACACTCTCACCCTTTGAGCTAGCTTTTGGGTGGTGACCTCAAGGTTCTTAACAAAACCATCACCATTTTGTTTTTGGATCCTGGTGTCCAGATCATACGTGACGTTAGTGATTTTGCCCCTAATCGGATCCTTGCTTTCTGGGTTTAGGGTAGTCCAATCCACCACACTTGCTTGCTTCCTTAATAACTGTTTCTGCAATTGTGGCTATCCACAAGAAAGCAGATTTATTTTTATTCAACTAGAAGCTAACACGGCCTGAAAGAGAGTAGCTTTTGATCTTAGAATTTGGTTAAATAAGATTCTAGAATGGCAACAATCCTCATAAACAGGTTAAATCACGGTGATGGAATCCTGGTTGAACTTTCCACGTACTATATAATAAGATATGTTCAAGCCACTAGGATTGCTTTAGTGATAAATTATATTAGAATGCGTGTTCAATTCTCACTTACATCCAAAAATAAAAAGATATTAAGATCTGTTGTCGATCAATCTTAAGATGCTCAATAAAGGCCCAATTTCCTTAAGAGTTCAGTTCATCCACCTATACCTTCCCTGCTAAACAAACTTAGATTATCATTTGGAAAACAAGTTCAATACATAAACTGCGCCGCCACACTAACATCCCATTACGGGATGTTAGCATCTGAAATTATGGGATAACATGAAAGCTAAAGACAGATCAATTACGGTATAACATGAAATTATTCTCAACACAACCTATGATTCCTAGTGCATAAGTAGACATCTCCAAATTGATGTTAGCATCTGGGAACTTTACAGCTTTACATTCAGCCAATTAACAATCATAGCCGCAAAGGAACTGATACCGACACCTACAGAGGCGATCACTCAAGCCCCAAATGCAAGTCCTCCATTCTTATGAATACAATGACTCAATACTCATGTATTCATCTAATCCATATACTAATTCATTAAACTCAAAACACTAATTTGAGCGTCTTGCTACAATCTAGAAGGAGGATGTTCCAGACTCGAAGTTATCAGCTCAGTAAACATGAATTGGTCCTGATCAATCGTGTGTGATGAGCCCAAGAAAATCAAGATTCATCTGTTCATTGAATAGTTTGGACACAAGTTCCCCACAACAAATATAAGGCAAAACGGAAGCACTTGAAAGAGAGAAAAATAAAAAGAAAAACTAATAACAAGGTCACGAAAATTATGAAACTTTTACACGACTTATCCACAACAAGATACATAAATCAAGATACATAAAGGATAATACAGAAGTCCTAGAAAACCTGTGGCAAATAACATCCAGCCAGATAACAATTGACAGACAGACATACATATACATAGTCATTGACACATACAAATACAAGAGTTTGAAAGCAAATTACACAACCAGTTCTACATTATTTTCAGCATCGCCCAATTCCTCATCGTCACTATCAACATCAGCTTCAAGAAGCCACTGCTCAAATTCATCCACCTCATCATAATCGTGTGTATATAAACCATCTGAGATATCATAGGGATCAGCCCCAAGCTCCTCACCATGGCATGCCACATGCAAGAAAGGTCTACTTCTAGCTAAAGCATCTACCATGTCTCTATTAACACTTCCGGTCACTCCCAACCATTTAAGCCTTGGAAAATATGGTTTCTTTAACCAGCGAAATGAAAGCTGTGTAATACCACCACAGTTATAAAGATCCAACAAGCGCAAACTGCTTCCATGCCATCTGGCCTCATCAACCAGCATTGAAGCTAATGCCATAACCGAAGTATCACCAATCAGAGGGCACTGTCGCATCCGGAGTTCAAAGAGGGGAATCCGACTTTTTGCCAGCAGCAAGACTCCATTATCTGAAAGGTTGGGAAGATTAGATAGATCAAGTTCTCGCAATTCCAGCACACCACAGCCATCAAATAGAGCTGTGATGCATTTATCTGTAAGTCTCTTGCACCCTCGAAGAGACAACGCAAATATTGAATTAATAACAGATGGTCTTAAGTATGAAAGTCCCTCATCAGTTATATCAGAGCCATCTAATAGTAAAATTTTCAGTCTTGGAAGAGTGCCAATGGCCTGGAGAGCTTCATCCCCAAGGCTCCTGCAATCTCTCAAGTCAAGAACTTTAAGTTCCTTGTTTGATGCCAGACTCAAAACTGCATGGTTGGTTAACAGATTGCACCATCTTAAGCTCACATGCGTTAAAGTAAGGGATGTTGCAGAAATATCATGAAAAACTAGATCAGTTAACTGAGTCCCATGAGTGACCTTAAGCTTGTATAAGCGAGAGCAAGAATGCAGGATAGTTTTGAAACCGGTGTCTGTGACACGACAAAAGCCACCAAGGCATATGCTCTCCATGTTTGCACACTTGTCAGCCATTAGAAGTAATCCCAGGTCATTTACTCTTCGAAAGTAGGTAATTAGGAACTCTTGGCTTCGGATTAAAGAAAGATGTTTCAATCTCCCAAGTTGATTAATTTGTTGAAGGCCAGCATTGGTTAGGTCAAATGTAATTCTTGGTTCAATCAGCGGTGCGTCTCGAAGATCCAAATGGGTCAAAAAGATAAGACCTTTGCATATTGTACCAACCATAGCATCAGTTATATAGTCTACCGAAAGGCATAGTTTCTGAATGCTTGGAAGTATGGATGGTTGAACAGGATTCAAGGACTGATGGGATCCCAAATTTGAGCTAAGCAGTTCAGTCACTGTGACAGAAGAAATGTAGCCAATCTCAAGAGAAGTGAGTTTCTCTGAGGCAGAAGCCCAAACTCGAGCAAAGTTATGACGTAGAAAGAGAGAGACGTCAAACATCAGAATCAGCGCCTGCCAAGATAGTCAGAATACTATTGGGTCTAATTGCATTAATAATCAGTGAACATGTTATCATGTTTCACAATTGGAAAAATACACAGAAAAACAACAAAAACTTCAAGGAAGACCATTAAGAAACTTCTAAGACATTATTAACGTGAATGGGATGTAATGATAAAATAAGTCATTCAATTAATCATTCGGATACCCACAGTGAAAACAAATAAAACGATTTTGCCCAGTTCTTGGCATTTCCATTATGTTTAAATATTTACAATCAAGTAAACTTTTAAAGCTCAATAAAGGTCTAAATAGGAATAAATTTAACAAAAAATCTGACGATCAAAGAAACAAAACGAAACCATTTAATAGAGTAAGGGGCTTTCACCATAGCAAGTAAAACTCAACATCTTCAAAGTGCTTTTACCATAGCAAGCAAGAAGGGCAGATAAATGTTGATAGAATTACGAAGATCAATTAAGATTAATCAATGTAACGAAAAGTATCCTTTTGTTTTGATATCTTTCCATCCAAACATAAAGGCCATAGCATGTAGAATGTAAAGGAGAATGCCAGCAGACAAAACAATAATGACAACATAATAATTTCACTTCATGAATATTGAAAGCTTTAAACTTTCATTATATCTTACAAGCTTGTTTTATAGTTATGCCTTACTTCCAACTGGGAGCAGCCGCCAAGTAATTCCTCCAGATCAGAAATATGAATTGCCCTCCCTCTTTTTTCTGCTACCGAGCCCAAGTAGAGAGACCTGATGTAAATAACAAATAACAAGAACCCATAAAAGCAGCACTACAAACTCGAACAACAAATTACTAAACCACGATGCTACATGACCAATCCCCAAACAAGTTTTTCATGAAAAAGCATGCAATGCAAGGGGTTATGTCATCAAGCATTACCACCATCCAGAGGAGAGACATGAAATGGACAGCAAACCTTAGGTCCTTGCATCGGGTCCCAATCTCAGAGAGCAGTTTCCCACTGAAATCAGCACAATTGTGCAGACAAAGCTCGTGCAATGACGGTTTCACCAACAGGGCTATAGCGGAATCATCAAGGCGACCGCAATCAACCTTGAGGCTCTTAAGGTATGGGTTATTGGGTGGCAGCAACGGTCTCAGCAAGTCCCCAGAAGGCGCAATGTCCTGAAAAAAAACAAGCATTCCGAGAATAAGAAAACACAAATTCGTAAATTTCCGAAAAGAACAGACCAAGTTGACGGTTATGAACGAAATCCCAGATGGAAAATTAGAAAAAGAAACAAACTTTATCCCTTAGAGGATCTATGTATAAAGTCGTAACACAGTGAGAAATTTTGATGGGGTATGAGGAAAAGAGCGAGATTTGCGTGAGTGGAAGAGATGGTTATACGTACGAGGAGGTGGAAGTTGGGGAGGAAGGAGATGATTTGTTGAGCGCAGGAGCGGAAGGTGGAGGATGTTGTGGCAATTGAACAGATAGAAGCGATGTCGAGCTTGGTCATGATGGTGGCCAACAGAGCATATGGAAGGTGATCCAGGCTCACCTCCACGCTCTCCATTTCACGATTCGATCCTATCCAATAACAGATCAGATCAGGGATCGACTCTTGTGTTCTATGACGGTAAAATACTTGGATGAATTCATCATCAGTGGGAGATCTAGACAACAATGTTGATGACGACGACGACTAGTTAGAATAAATAAATAAAAAGGAAATTTGCTGCTGACGTAATAGCCTTCGATTGAAACTCTTATAAATAAATAAAAAATGAGACCCACACTTTTATTTTATTTTTATTCATTCTTTCTTTTTTTTTTCTTTTTCTTTCTCTCATTTAAAATGATATAATTTTATATCGTCTAAAATCATCCATACTTTTCTCCAATTCAATTCAACAAATAATCATTTGATGGTGCATCTTTTGGACCAAATTTCGGTATGGGCTTTGGTGTTTGGTCTTAAAATTTACCCAACCCAATGTGCCATGACTATTGTATTTGTGGGTGTGGGTTTAGTGTTCCAAGCATTTCGAGTTATACATTGTACTGTGGCGATAACGAATTTCTTTTTTTTTTGTTTTTGGAAATAAACGAATTTCTTTTTGCTACGGGAAAGAATATGAGAATGTTGTCTAGTTGGATTTTTTACATTTTGCGTTAAAAATAAAGCAAAATAATTATCTCATATTATATAAGATAATTATCTCATGTAACGGAGAAAAAATAGTAAAATCTAATTTTTTTTCTTTTTTTGAAAAAATAGTAGACTCCATAATTTTATCTCTGTTTAATGAGATAATTATCTCATGCAATATGAGATTGATAGAACCCAAAAATAAAAGAGTATAAATGTGTTGCAAAAGAAATACTTTAGCAAAAATTCAAATAATACAAGCGGGGTAATGAAGGATGGGACTGTTATCACGTACAATTATCAGAAAATATTTGCATGTCTTTGCAAAAAGAAAAAAAAACATGTCATGTAATTGTAAATCTTATAATTGATAATTTTGAAGTGCGTCCATAGATTTTTTATTTTATATTTTTGACCAACATATTACGAGAGGTGGAACTAGAGGAGGGCTGCCCCCGCCTCTGCCCCTAAAATTTGATTGCGGAAAATTATATATATAAATAATATTTTAATAATATTATACAATATGTGTGAGTGGATAAATTACCGACATGCGTGAGCGTGAAGAGGAAATACAAAACCTCAACGGCTCAAATCAAATTTCTAAAAATTGTTTAGCTTGCAATTGCAAGAGAAGACAACTGAAAAGGAAGCACAAACATTTTCATTGAAGGGGGGCGTGAGACTCAATCTTGAAACATTCTTCAAGTACCTCTTCACTCTTCAGTTTTCAGTGATAGTTAATAACCTGCCTCAACCTTTTTTACTTTCTTTTGGGGTAAAATTTAAGAAAATGATTCAACTTTTGCATTTTCAGTTTTCATTGAGCTTCTTCTAATTGTACTAGTTTGAAAAGTCAATGACGATTTTGATTATGAAGAAGACAAAGAGAAGTTAAATATTTTTAGGATTAAAATATTAAAATGTGGGGGACTTGATTCGGTAGTTCATTTGTCAATATTATATATATATATATATATATATATATATATATATATATATATATATATATATATATATGAGTTTTGCTTCTATCCTTTAACATGAGGTTAGAAAAATTCCTACACGTACGTAATTTAAATGGATCTCACCATAAACAAAACATAAAAAATAAAAAAAATGTTACACGCAGAATGATCGCTCAGTAACATGAAAAAACAATTCTCCTATTAAAAGAGAAAGTGATTTTCGCGTGTATATATATATGAAAAAATAAAAAAAATATTTCTGCAGTTAATGCAGATAAGTTATCTGCATTTATTCCTAAAACGACGTCGTTTTAATATTTAGATCTTAAAAATAAAGACTATTATAGCCCTAAAATAAATTAAAATTACAAAATACCATGATTTCCGTCCCAAAACGACGTCGTATTGGGCTTACTGCAAATAACTTATCTGCAGTAACTGCAGAAAAATCAAACCCATATATATATATATAGGGCTTATCATTTTTCAAGCTGCCGGAGATAAAACTATCTCCGGCTACTAAATCGTAATCGTACAAAGATGAATCAATAGTAATGAAGGAAGAGAAAAAAAAGGGAAATATAACCATTCAAAGATGAATCAATTAATATAAGAAAATAAATAAACAAAACGACGTAGTTTTGGGGTAGCCGAAGATAAATTTATCTCAAGTTGTAGGAGAAATATTTTTTCCATATATATATTTAGGCTCGCTCATTTTTCTCACCCCTCTCTAAGCTTAGAACTAGCTAACTATGTTGTGCATAACTGACGTGACAGGGACCTTTGTATAAAGCACTACGTTGATCATTTTTCTTCACTTCCCTCCCTTTCAAACTCCCAAAGCCTTTAGATTTTTGGAGGTAGAGGAAAGGAAATGGAGAATTTTAGTAAGTCCTTACCTTGTTTGTGAGTTTAAAAAAATAAGAGGAAGAGATTGAAGATTTTTACTAAACTCTCAAAAACCCTCATTCTTCTTAAAATCAAAGTTCATCCAATTTGGAGGATTTAAAGGAGAAATATTAAAAAATGCTTATCTACTCTTAGCATTAAAATGTGAAAACTACATAAATATGAATCATATTTAAATGTAGCATTATTAGAAAAGTCTCAAATACCGAAAGAATTTATCGATGAAAAATATTTCGTCAAAAATAGTGATAAATTTTTTTGATGAAAATCATATACGTCAACAAAATTTCGTCAAAACTAAAGATGAAATTAAAGACGAAACCAGATTTTGCCAAAATCACTAACATAAATTTGTTACGAAAAAAAAATTCAGTCAAAATTATTCTATTAATACATCGAAACTTTTAACGAAAATATTTTCGTCCAAAATTTTGACGAAACACATTTCTATCTAAAAGTTTCATCGAAGAAAAAATTCCATCGCTTTACGACGAAAAGTATTATGACGGAAAAGTAATTTTGTGATGAAATTTTCGTCGTTTGCAACGTATAAATTTTATAAAAAATATTGATGTTTTTTAGTATTGTGAAAAGTACATCAATAATTTTGTTAGAAATTTTAAATTTAATTTAATTTGTAAAATGTAATAATTATATTAATTTTAAACATGGGGTAAAATGGTAAAAATATCTCATTAACCTTCTATTTTCTTTCTTACCATTTTTTTAACTGCCAAACAAAAAAAGAAAATACCCTTCAATTTCTTTCCCTTTCTTTCTTCTTGGATCCCCTTCTTTCCTTTTCCCTCCAAACTCTGTAAAAAAGTTTAACGAAAATGCCTAACCGAAGAATTACTTTACGTTATGGCAAGAAAAATGAGAAAGCTGTCTAGCTGGACTTTCTACATTTTATATTAATATTTTTCTTATGTTATTGGAGATGAATTATCTTATGTTAGTGAAATAAAATTATAATAGAGATCCACAAATAATTGAAGAAAAAAATAGAGGTGGGATTCACCTTTATTATGTGTGTGTAAGAATTTAATTTATCTAATGTTAAATGAGATAAATATAATCAAAAAATAAAAAATACGAATGTTTCACACGAATAATATTTGAATAAATTCACAAATGATACGAGCGTAACAAGTGACAACGAGGGATGAGATGACGATCATGTGCAATTATAAGAGAAAAAAATTATGTCATGTCATTGTTAATCTTAAGAATGATATACTAGAATTGCTTTTATAAGAAATATTTTTTCATCAAATAAAATAGTTTAAGAGTTTAAACATTGTCTATACGTTTTACAAACGGTTAACGATTAAGATTGATTAAGAACGCCATTTTTTCATTATAGTTTGCGAAGGGAATACAATTAGAAAGGTAGAGAATTTTTTTTTTGGAGATAGGCAGATTAGCTGAGATTAGAAAGGAGACTTGAATTATTTCCTTCTTCTTCTCCTTTTTATGTACTCTAATTTTTTTATAAAATAACTACTAATAAGATAATTTAAATAACTAAAATAAAGATAAATTAATTTGATAACAAACAACTAGAATAAGCGGATAATAATAACTCTTGATTGCTACAGTTTAACATGCTCCAATGTTAATGACTTAAAAAGATTTTTACGGGGAAGATAAATTGGCAAGGACATGACTTTATGGATCATATACGAAAGATATTGAGTATGAGTCTCGTCCTTAATTTTTTTAGTAGATTAATTACACAAAATAATCAATATTTTAAATTATTTAGAGAAATTATAAAAGGTGATTATAAAAATTAATTTAAACACGAATTAAGTGTATATTATTGGTTTTAAAACAATTATTATTTAAAATATTTTCATTTATTTAACATATTTATTGTTTTTAAAATTTGAAAAATCATTAATACATATTTATTTCATTGTTTCCTCTTACTATTTTTATTAATCAAAATAAAAATATTAATACAGCAAATAATAATTTAGTTGAATGTGTTTACCAAATATATATATATATATTTAAATTTTTAAAATGAAAATTTTAATAAATTTTTAATTTTTGTAAAAAATATTTAATCCTAAGTTATGAAAGTGAAAGATTTGTATCCAAACTTTTACCGCAATTAATATTGAATTGAGTTAATATCTTGAAAGTGAAAGGGCAACTTCCAAAGATCCAATGAAGTTCCTCAAGAATTACCAATCCGCGATCAGGTTAAAGCCCACAGCTTTTATTACCCGCCCACATATTTGTTCCGTTTAAAAAACAAACACATCCCCAAAAGGAACATCGTTTTTTTGTCCTTTTTTTTTTTTTTAATTTGTATTTGTCATTTAACATGATACAACAAATTTTTTTACATACACAATATTTTGTGGAGCCCACATTTAAAAAAAAATAAATTACGACACGCAAAACGAATCTCTATAACATTACATAATCATTTTTTCTACATTTGGTAAAAAGCTTCGGTTATTTTACTTAATCTAGCTGGACAACATAGATTTCTTTGAATTTAATGTTGGAGCCAGATTTTAAAACCCTCCCTCTCTTCCCCCTCATTCTTCTTTGTTATATATAATTTAGAGAAAAGTTTCTTCCTATAATTTACTCCAGAATCATTTATGTCCCTATAATTTTTTATCATATATATTTTTATGATTTGTAAAAAGTACAAAAATCACAAGAACATATGAGATAAAAAATATACCTTTTTGCAAATAATAAAAACATATGTGATAAAAAAAATTACAGGAACATAAATAATTCTGAAGTAAATCATAAGAGCATCGGTGAACTTTTCCTTATAATTTATGTATAAATTGCAAAATTAAAAGCAAGAAACATAACTAACCTCACCTTGTTATATTGACATCTCTTATTCTGATTATTTTTCTTCAAATAAGAAAAATATTATTCGGAGTTCTTATGCCCACCCTAAGTTTATCAAAAAGATAAAAACTAGAGGGGTAAGATTAGATTGGAACAGCATCGATATAAAAAATATATTTAAAGTCCAAAATATAGATAAATAAAAATTTGAATAATTAAAATCTTATTTTTGCTTTTACTTATTTATATTTAATTGACGTGCAATGTATTGATATATTATTTTGAAACATAAATCAAAGATATGAAGCTGCATTCAAGCCGCTAGGGTGACCAGTGATGAGGAGTATAGATATTTATGTAATAAGTTATGTGTTTAATTTCTCAGTGTATTCAAAAAATAAAATAAATGAAGCTGCATTCGGTAGTAAACGCTGCGTTTTTGAATGGGGGGTTTCCTTGTGTCCGTGTCTGCATATCTCTAGCTACGGTATTAGAATAGTCAATATGGACTTGGCGCAAAGGATAACCCCTAAAACCCAAAATTTGCTCCAACCCTTTGATGAGCCCATTTGTTGATGGGCTTAACCCACAGATCCCAGTGATTGTGGCTCATATCACGTCACGTCCTCTTCTTTCCTGTCGTCTAGGGATGTTCGCGATCTGAATTGGATCAGTTTTGAAAGCAAAAATCATATGATACAATCCTTCGGTTTGTTCATATAATCATTTATTCAGTTTAATTTTTTTTTTCAAATCCGATCCGATCCAATCTAATCCAATTTTTTCCGATTTAGATTGAATCGGTTTTCGATTTTTTGAAAATCCTAAAATTTGTTTCATGCTTATCATGCAAATAATGTATATATTAGCTTTGTAAATTTATTAATTTTTTAAAGTACAAAAACATCAACAGACGATAATATGGTTTTTTTTTTGGACAATAGGATATGAAGCTCTACACAAATAAGATAAAATTTTGTTGTTGAGATGTGACTAGGTTTTTTTTTTGGTTTAGTTGATAGGTTAGTAAGTCTTGGGTTTAGAAATTTTTGGACTATATTTGGGGAAAGACCCAAGTTGGTAGAGAAAAATTAATATATTAGATTGGATCGATTTTCATCAACCCGTCCGAAAACCAATCCAATACAATCAAAATTTGTGATTTTTTTTTTTGGTTTTTGATTTTTCGATTCGGTCACCGCAATTTGAATCTGTTTGGATCGATTGATGAACACCCTATTTAGTTCTCATGTGAGAATAGCTCTTATTCAAGTATATTAATTTTATTTCACCGTTCATTTTCACGTATCCAGTTTTTTTTAATATATAATTAACATAAATAAAATTAACATACTTGAAGATAATTAAATTAGAAAGTTAGAGAAAAAATTTGGAGATAACAAAAATTAGGGAGAATGGAGATTAGAAATGAGACTTAAATTATTTCCTTTTTCTTCTCAGATGTATTTGCTCAATGGGCTAATAATTTATACAATTACAGTTTCGACAAAGATAAAAAAATATTAATTTGAATTTAAAACTAATAACGTTCTTAAAATAATTACTAATAAGATAATTTAAATAACTAAAATAAAAATAAATTAATCTGATAACAAATAACTAAAATAAGAGAATAATAATAACTCTTGATTGCTACAGTTTGACATGCTCCAATGTTAATGGCTTAAAAGGGTATTTACAGAGAAGATTACATTTATGAAAGATATTGAGTATGAGTCTCGTCCAGTCGTCCTTCATTTTTTTAGTAGATTAACTACAAAAAATAATTAATTTTTTAAATTATTTAGAGAAATGATAAAAGGTGATTATAAAAAAATTAATTTAAACACGAATTAAGTGTATATTATTGGTTTTAAAACAATTATTATTTAAAATCTTTTCATTTTATTTAACATATTTATTGTTTTTAAATATTTAAAAACATTAATACATGTTTATTTCATTGTTTCCTCTTACTATTTTTATCAATCAAAATAAAAATATCAATAAAACACGATACAAATCTTTCACTTTCATAATTTAGGATTAAACATTTTTTTACAAAAATTTAAAATTTGTTAAAATTTTCATTTTTAAAAATAGAAATATGTTAAACTAAATTGAATTGAGAAGAGCAACTTTTATTAACGAGAAATAGAGTATTATGTTGTAGGAAAATGACTATGTTATGCTATAAACACAACAAATAGGACCCCAACATTTTTAAAATAAAAAGAAAAGAAAATGATAAGGTCCACATTAATTGTATCTATAACATGACATGAGAGTGGATCTTTTTATGTGGAAAAATGATTATGTGGACATGTTATTTGATCACAACCACTCATTGACGATGAGATAAGAAAAAAAAAGTATATAATTTTTAAATGAATAATTATAATGAAATAATATAACCACGTGATCACGTTTTCAGAAAGATAATAGTTCTATTTTCCTATATTAATATCTTGAAAGTGAAAGGGCAACTTCCAAAGATCCAATGAAGGTACTCCAGAATTAACAATCCACAGGTTAAAGCCCACAGCTTTTATTACCCGCCCACGTATTTGTTCCGTCTAGAAAAACAAACACATCACCAAAAGCAACATCGATTTTTGTGACGTTTTTTTTTTATTACAATTGGATTGTCCTTTTTCTGTTTCCCGCTTCCAAATTTTCCCTCATTCGTGCGTTTTCTTGTTTATCTATTTAAACTTTTTTTTTCACCAAACAAAAGCTTCAGTTACTTTATTTAATCTAACTGGACAACATAGATTTATTTGAGGGGCCGTTTAGTATACGGATTTTTTTCGAATTCTCGGGAAATTAAATTTTATTAAGTTTTAAATTTTCAAATATTATCGTAAACTGAAGGTAAAAATTATATTTTTGAAAATCGAGATTTCCGGACAAATAAAAATTTATCTTCTACCCCTGAATTTAATGTTGGAGCCAGATTTTAAAACCCTCCCTCTCTTCCCCCTCATTCTTCTTCTTTTTATATATAATTTATGTATAAATATAAACTGCAAAATTAAAAGCAAGAAACATAACTACCTCACCTTGCTGTGTTGCCATCTCTTATTCTGATTATTATTGTTCTTTCTTTCTGCTAATACAAACCAAAAACTCCATTCTCCCTATTTGAACTTTCCATGGCCAGCGTAAGGAAGAAGCGGCAACGGAACACAGTCACAGTGACAGTGACGGGGGAACCCATTCCTCTCAAAGCAAACACAAATGCTGATGAGGAACACGCCGAGAACGGTGATGGAGGTTCCGAGACGGTGAAATTTGCTGAAAATGTTGGGTTATCGAACGGTGAAGGTTCGGGTAAAGTAAAAGACGATGATGGAGCAGGGGGTTCTTCTTGTGTTCAAGTTGTGACGGGAAAGAAGCGCGGCAGAAAGAGTAATGTGGGAAATGATAGTGTTTTGAAGAAGAGACCCGGTAGAAAAAGAAAGATCGTCAATAAAGATGGATCTAAGAGAGGTTCTGATGAACTGGTTAGTGGGAATAAGAGAGGTTTAGGGCGTAGGTTCAAGGCAGAGAATGAAGTTTTGGTGGCTCAGGGTCATGGTGAACCTGAAGTGCCTATTTATTCTTCAGGATATGCTTTTAGGGACCGTAAAAACAACGAACACGAGAAGCCCAAAGTCATCAAGAAATCTGTTAGAGACAAAGTAATACGATTTCTCTGCTCGTTCATTATTCTTTTTATGTATATACATGTTTTGAGTTTGACGTTATATATGAATATGATTTAGCTTGCATCTGTGGTTGTTTTTTTTTTCTGTTTTATCAATCAGCGGTGGATTGAAGAGGAGTCCTTAATGTGCCATCAATGTCAGAGAAATGATAAAGGCAGGGTTGTGAGGTGCAAAAGTTGTAAGAGGAAAAGATTTTGCATACCCTGTTTAAATAATTGGTATAACTTTGCCTCCTTTTCTCTTTATTTATTTTTTGTCCTTGTATGTCACTTATCTTGTTATTGAATATGCCCTGTTCAAGTTGGGTGAGATTTATATATGAAGTTAACATCCATGTCCCTACCGCACTGCCAGCTAAAAATCCGGGTCTATTTAATTTGAATATATTTTTTGTTTTGGAGGACTTTAAACAGATTATTGGAAGGAATTGAAATGATAAATCCATGTATGAACACAACTTTCTGTTGTTTACCCAGACTTTTAATCATTTGTGTGGGGAATTTCAATAAATTACATATGTTATATTTAATATGATACTATTTATTATATTAGGAAAAAATTCATAATTTAGAGAAACAATTGTGAGATCAATGTCCTGAAAAGTTATAGCAAAGATTACAAGTTTAGATTTTGGATGATAGAAGCTTGACCAATGTTGTCAGTCCTTGATATTTTTGCTGTGTCTTGTTAAGGTATCCTCAACTGAAAGAGGATGATATTGCTGAGGAATGTCCTGTCTGCCGTGGTAATTGCAATTGCAAAACGTGCTTGCGATCTGGTGAACTTATTGAAGTCAGTTCTTCCCCCTCTTCTGGATTGGCTTTTCCTATGATTTTCTGCATTTCACATTTGTATCATCATGACCATTTGGTTTACTATAGGAAATGAAAAAAGAAACGGAAACCAAAACAGATGAAAAGGTGGAGCTCCTTAAGTATTTGCTGAAAGGACTTCTTCCATATCTAAGACAGTTGGATGAAGAACAAATGATTGAGAAGGAGATAGAAGCTAAGAGACAAGGTATTTTTCCCCCCTTAAGGAGTCTCAATTGAGGTTACTGATGTATGGATCAATGTTGCTCCGTGAATATATGAATTTGATGCTGATCCAAAGCTAGGTTTAATTATTGTATTTGCCTTCTAGTACTCTTTATGCTACACACAACTAAACCATTGTTTTGAAATGAGGCCATGAAGCCACAGATTACTCTGCATTCTGAATGCTGACTGCAAAAGAGTTTTTTGTTTTGTTTTGATAAACTTTTGGCTTTTGAACAGCCTGACTGTTGCAACGCATTTCTTCTTATTAATGTGATTTTCTTTGCTGGTGTTTCTTTGTTTTGGTTCTTTACTTCAGAAATCTCTCTCTCTCTCTCTCTCCCTTCTTGATTTTGATTTACTTTCCCACCTCAAATTATTTTTCTTGTATGCACCATAGCAGCATAGCTTGAATTTTTATTAAAGTTCAGTACTAGTTCAATATTTTTTTCACTGTTTAATTTGCTTTCGGTATGTGCACTGCAGGGCTCTCACTCTCAGAGCTAAATATAGAAAAGGCAGATTACTCCAAGGATGAGCGTGTATACTGGTAGGGATTTATCAGATTTATTATTGTTTTTCAGCTATCCTCCTATTTAGTTGTTGACTTAAAATTCTTTTGTAGTGACAATTGCAAAACATCAATATTTGATTACCACAGAAGCTGTACAAGATGCTCTTTTGATCTTTGTCTCATCTGTTGCCGTGAACTTAGAAGTGGGCAGCTTCTAGGCGGTGCAGAGCCAATTGATTTGGAGTTTGTATTCCGAGGTCGTGGTTATTTGCATGCAGAGGAAGAAAATAAGAAGGTACAAAGAAATGCATTACAAGCTAATGTTAAGCCTGAGAATCGTACGTGGTCAAGGTCTGAATGGCATGCAGAAAGTGATGGTAGCATTCTTTGTCCAAAAGTTAACGATGCATGCGTCCACAGTTTTCTTGAACTGAGAAGCATATTTCATCCAAATTTTATCTCAGACTTAGTATGTAAAGCAGGAGAATTAGCAAAAGCATATAAGCTTCAAGAAGCAATTGAGACTCCTCCCAAGTGGTGTTCATGTTTGAAGCTTGGTAGAGACACAGATGTTAGATATAATTATATGAGGAAGGCAGCGTCGCGTGAAGATTCCAGTGACAACTGTTTATACTGTCCTAGGGCTGTAGATCTACAGCATGGGGATTCAAGGCATTTTCAATGGCATTGGTACAGAGGGGAGCCTGTCATTGTTAGCAATGTACTTGAATGTACGTCTGGTTTGAGCTGGGAACCACTTGTCATGTGGCGTGCATTCCGTGAGAGAAGCACCAAGCAGGATCAACTTTTCGATGTGAAGGCAATTGATTGCTTAGATTGGTGTGAGGTTTGTTAAATTTCTCAATGTTGAACTCGGAGGGCTTTTTGCATAAATTCCACCATTTACCTTCACTGTCATGTCTAATTTCTTCAATGACAATATATAGGCAATTGATTGCTTAGATTGGTGTGAGGTTTGTTAAATTTCTAAATGTTGAACTTGGAGGGCTTTTTGCATAAATTCCACCATTTACCTTCATTTTCTGAATTTTGTAACTCCTTCTTATAAATGTTACTGTAGATTCACAAGTTTATTGTCTATTCTATGTATTTTTCAGATATTTAATACGGTATCAGAGAAACCCTAAATTACCTTTGAGGACATGTTGAAACTCTAAAAATTGTGTTGCTGCATTTTTTGTTTTTCTGGTTTGTGAGTTTGTTGGAGATCATTGCGCTTCTCAATTAAGTGGTCGGTCGACGATGTCCACCTACGTCCATAGGAGGCCTTTCGTGCTGAAAAATCGTTCATTTGCACCTCAGATCAACTTCCACAATCCACACCACCATTCCGGCCTTGACAATCTCTTGCTGCTATCAGGTCACTTTTTCCCTTGATAGCATGTCTGTCAACTTCACTGAGTAGGTTTCAATGGTGAGAATTTCCCATGTGGTCTCAATTGGTTCGATGTATATTAGAGGTCGAGGCAAACTTGGATACTTAAAAAAAACAACTAAGGAACCGGCCACCATTGACAAAGCACATGCTGTTTGCCAGTTTGGGATACCGAAATCTCAATTATTATGACTTGGTTGGTGTGAGGTTTGTTTAATTTCTCAATCTTGACCTTGGTGGATAGTTCCTCTATAAGAGACAGCTTCTAGATGTTCTGCTGTACGAGTCATAAAGAGATAACTTTTCATTGTGTTGGTCACTAACTTTCAACTCTTGTTGCTTGCCCTGTGCCGTCTCTCCCAACATTGTCAACAAATATGGTATTCTGTGATCACTTTATATTGCTTTTGTTATCATTGTCATCTTTTTTAGACCTGGATTTCACTCCATATCTTATCATCTTTTCTTACAACTTCATCTCAATTTCTTGCTGTCTGTTTCACTATATTTGCTTCACCTACCCAGATCCTTTCTTGTTTCCCTTGCATCCTCTGCATTCTGTTTTCCTATTGGTGTGTTTGCCTGTTTCTTCGGCATGCTCAAAGCATCTACCTGATGTCAAGTAAGACAAACTGTTTTATGTTTTCTTGTTGAAATTATTACTGTTTTTTTAGTTGTACTCATTCTATTTTTTTTCTTAATCTTTAATCAGACTAGACTTAATCACATTTGCTTTATTTTACTACTGTGTTATTTCTTTTACATGACGTGTCTATTCTATTGCTGGTGATTTCTGCTTTTTTTATTTGAGTTGTTGATTAATGCAGGGAGAGATTAATATACATCAATTCTTTACTGGGTATACAAGTGGTCGTAAGGATTGGCTTAATTGGCCTCAGATATTGAAATTAAAAGATTGGCCTCCTTCTAATTTTTTTGAGAAATGTTTACCTCGTCATTGTGCTGAGTTCCTATCTTCCTTGCCCTATAAAGAATATACGGATCCTCTTAGAGGTGTTCTTAACCTCGCAGTGAAGTTGCCAAAAGGATGTCTAAAGCCTGACATGGGGCCAAAGACATATATTGCTTATGGATTTGCTCAGGAGCTTGGGCGTGGTGATTCTGTTACTAAGCTCCACTGTGATATGTCTGATGCAGTAAGATCTATTTCCTTAATTCTTTCTTGGCCCGTTTCTTTCAAGGGTTTCTTCAGGGTTGTTTGAATTCTTATGGTTGTTATATTTAAATAGAATATGATAAGTTGCATAGTTTGTAGGATGTATAAATTGTTGCCTGTGTAAGCTGTTGCATTTCTCTGCTCTCTTTCTTATGAGCAGATTGTGGTTTCAAGTCTATCTCATAATTTTTTTTCTTTCAGCGCATTGTCTTCAATGCATAAACTCATTTGATTCTATATTTGATTGGTTATTGCCGTGGTTGTTTTAGTAATTGATGATTTGAAAATGTTATCATGATATGATTGATGGCATCGTCACATAAGTATTTAAAGACTTGAAATCAATGATGCCTTTGGATTAGAGAAATTTGTAATCAGCATTTATTTTCATTAGTTGCATGGCTTTTACTGGTTAAATATTTGTTGGTGCTTTGTATTTATTGCTGTATTTATTGCATGGCTGCACATTTATGAGGAAAACAAAATATCTTTTTTTAATCTGGCTGTTTTAGGTAAATGTGTTGACTCACATAGCTGAAGTGAAATTGGATTCTGAGCAACTTACTACCATTGAGAATTTGACACAAAAGCATCTTGAGCAAGACAAGAGGGAACTACTTGGAGATGATCAGGATGGAGAAACTAATGCTGACGTGCTTGATAATTCATATTCTCCCATAAATGCTTCTGAAAAGCAAAATAGTGTTCAAGTCATGGAACATGAAAATGGGTTATGTGATGGGAAAGTGGTTGATCAATTTCATCAACACTCTGATTGGAATGAGGTTGCCATTGTTAATGAGGATGGTCTTTCATGTGGGTCAGAGCTCAAAGAGGTTGAGAAAGAGAAAATGAAGCAAGAAAACGGTATATTGGTTGCGGGGGATGCTTCAGAAGGTGCTCTCTGGGATATTTTTCGTAGACAGGATGTACCTAAATTGCAGGAATATCTGATGAAGCATTTCAGAGAGTTCAGGCATGTCCATTGCAGTCCTCTAAAACGGGTAAATTAGTAAAATGATTTTCCATTATCTATCAGGATGCTCCTTGTTGATAAAGCTTGGTTCTTACCAAGTTACTGCTAGGAACATAATCTTATAACTAATTTTGTATTCATAATATTTGGAGTTTTGCACCTTAATAACATTGACAGTATCCCATATTTTCTTCTGATAATTTTTTTATTAAATATACATGTCATAAAGGATTGGGCTAAGGATCAAGCTGCTGATAAATAACAATTGTGAATAGTTGTTTTGAGAATGGAAATAAATTATTTCTGTTTAATTAAGTCTATGCATTATCATTGGTAAGGAATTATATTGATGTGATCAGCCATATTGAAACATATCATATATGGCCTGAGACAAGTTTATTCATTTATGGACCTTTCATTAATATAACAATAGATGCTTCCGTTCAGAAACAAGGGCAGGGAAATGCATTATTGGTGTAGTTACCAGTCCTAGATCCTCATTGGCCATTTAAATAAATGTTTTATATAATTGGTTTTGGCAATTTTGAAGTTTTGATTTGGCAGTTGAAAACTATTGCTTGTAGATATCTGGTCAGTCTGATAATCCTTTCACTCAATATACATGTATTTTATTTCTTGATTGGCACATCCTTCGAAATCGTAGGTTATTCACCCCATCCATGATCAGACTTTCTATCTGACTGTGGAGCATAAGAGGAAGCTTAAGGAGGAATATGGTTAGTAATGTTCATAAGTTTTCCTATTTTGTTTGGGGGGAGGGGTGGTTTAATTGATCAAATTGTACCTATATGGTGACAGTTCTATATTTTCTTGTAGGAATTGAGCCCTGGACTTTTATTCAGAAGCTAGGAGATGCTGTTTTTATTCCAGCAGGTTGTCCTCACCAAGTCAGAAATCTGAAGGTAAAATGAAAACATGTTGTGAATTTGCTTTGTCTTTAATGTGGGTATGATGTTTCCTTGTTTGCCTAGAAGTGTATAAATGTTTAAGTATTCTATTACGTCAGATATGTTGGTTTTGACATACTATGATACAAGAACGCCTACTAACTTAAAGTATATGTTGGTTTTGACATACTATGATACAAGAACGCCTACTAACTTAAAAGTAGGTATATATCCTGTGTAAAGAACCTTGGGATACACCACCCTAAAAGCTAGCTCAAAGGGTGAGAGTGTTCAAGGCCTTATAAAGGCCACATTAGTTGCACATACAACCAATAAGGGCCGACCCAGTTCAAATACCCACTTCGTGAGTGTCTGGGGAAGGGAATACTCTAGGCAGTCTTTCCCCTGCTTTTTGCAGAGAGGCTGATTCGAACCCGCGACCTGACACACCACGGCAAGCAAGCTTACCGCTGAGCCAAGCCGGCCCTTCAATGGTACGGGGGAGTCCAAAACCCTTTGCAAATGGTACATCCACCAATGAGCCAAATGACAAACCATAATAAGTGGGCCAACACCACATCTCAACCTAAAACCTTAAGGCTAAAATACATCCTCTTAAATACAAACATTAAGACGTGTTGCTGCCCAGTGAGACTATATATCTCAACACGCCCCCTCACACAAGAGCCCATTGGGCTTGAAGAGTGGACAATGCAACAGGCCCAACTTACCTATGCTAAGAAACGCCACAAGAGAAAGTGGGGGGCGGCGAGGCTCTGATACCATGTTAAAAACCTTGAGGTCACCACCCCAAAAGCTAGCTCAAAGGGTGGGAGTGCCTAAGACCTTATAAACTCCACATTGGTTGCACATACAACCAGTGTGAGACTATATATCTCAACACGCCCCCTCACACGAGAGCCTATTGGGCTTGAAGAGTGGACAATGCAACAGGCCTAGCCTACCTGTGCTAAGAAACGCCACAAGAGAAAGTGGGGGGCGGCGAGGCTCTGATACCATGTAAAGAACCTTGGGATACACCATCCCAAAAGCTAGCTCAAGGGGTGAGAGTGCTCAAGACCTTATAAACTGTCACATTAGTTGCTCTTCAACCAATGTGAGACTATATATCTCAACACGCCCACACGAGAGCCCTCTTGGCTTGAAGCGTGGATTATGTATCAGGCCCAATCTTTAGTTTACCTTTTGTGCTTCCACTTTAAAGTGGGGGCGGTGAGGATTGAACCTCAAGCTCTGATACTATGTAAAGAACCTTGGGATACACCACTCTAAAAGCTAGCTCAAAGGGTGGGAGTGCCCAAGGCCTTATAAACTCCCACATTAGTTGCTCTTCAACCAATGTGGGGCTATATATCTCAACATCCTGCGTAAGCAAAGCAAGCTATAATAGGAAGTGACAACATTGATTCTTTTAAGTTGTAATATTTTTGACACATGCCTGTTCTTTTATAGGCATTAAATGTGATTATTTTTTATTTTAATTTCTATTTTTTATTTTTTATACAATAACAGCATGGAGGTTGAACCTAGGATTTCTTAACCCCTAGCTCACTTTTTGTGGCTTAGCACGTAAACATCCATGATATGCTTTTTCCTTTTGCAGTCATGCATTAAAGTTGCGCTTGATTTTGTCTCTCCTGAAAATGTTGGTGAGTGCTTCCGTTTGACAGAGGAATTCCGCATGCTTCCAATAAATCACTGGTCCACTGAGGACAAACTGGAGGTATGCCAAACTAGTTTTCTTGATTTGATTATGCCGTTTATATTTTTGTTGATTGTTTTGATGTATAGCATGACTAAAATGGGTATTTACACTTTGGATCAGTCCAAATTGTGGCTTACCTTCCTCGTTTTTGTCGTTTCTGCCTATTAGATACACTATTTGTTTAGTTTTAGAATTTATTTATTTAACTTCCAAAAAAGCAGTATGGACTGAACTTGGCAATATGTTAATAATTGTGCCATATTGTCATGTCAGTAGTTTCTTATTGGGATTTAAAATTCTTTTTTCCCCCTGATCGCTGCTTCTTTGGGAATAGGTGAAGAAAATGACGATACATGCTCTGATTGATGTGGTGGGACAATTGGAGCAAGCAAGGTGAGTGATTGTGATACTTGCGTTTACCGAGGACATTATTCACTTTGCTGTGAAATGCATTGTTAGATTATCTCTTACGTTCTCTGCATATTTTGTTACATTCTTTAGGCTCGTGATTTTAGATTTGCATTTATTGTTTGCATCAATTACGAAATTGATGATTCTCATTCAATTTACAGGTTTGGGGAAACCAAGGTTCCACTATGAATATATCTGTAACAGATTAAAGCCAATTGGAAGTGTAAATTTTTTGAGTCATTAGCTTGATCAGGTGTGATGATTTTGGGTTCTACATATCCTTACCGTTCCATATTTTGTTCTCTATAGCACACCTTGAAGAGGTACTTTTGAAACATTATGTTTTACTGACTTGTAATGGTGTACATATACGTATCACCACTTGTATACCTAGGTTGCTAATACTTAGGCTTAATTAAGTTTACGGGGCAGATGCTGATATGAGCGTTGTACTTTTTTGAACTTCTGAATGCATAAATGAGATTCGAAGTTTGCCCTCGTTGCCTTGTATTAGAATATAAATAATATTTTATTTTATTTTTAGTATGTTTTGTTATTTTACATTAGGGTGAGTTGTAGAATTATTACAATCCCCACTCTTTTATATTCTCTCATTGTATCCATTTTAACCTAATCAATTTTACATCAATCTACTCTCTTTTACCTTCTAACATTTTACCACGATAAAAATAGAGAAATTTTTTTTTATTGATTCTCATTCATTTTCTAAAATGATTCTTACATGGTGTATTTGTGCGCCTCAACCATAACAGAATTGGTGAGGTATTGCTAGTCCCCTATTCATCCTTGAAGTCCTATGTAAAAACATGTACTCTATGAAAAAGAAGACAATATGGATTGGTGATATTCTTTGACCTTCTCCCTTTTATTTCATAGTGTCTCTATTTTCTCTCTTAGTTTTATAACATGTCTTTATTTTCTTTCTTAGTTTTATAATACCAATTTCTATGTTTCATTAATCGAACTATTGATTCTTAAATCTATCAAAATGACTATTATTTTTTGAAAAATATGTTTTTCACGTTGCATGAGACACAAAAAAAATGCACGCACAAATAAAAAATAGATGGTATTCATTTTTTTATTTTTCTCTTTTCTTTTTAGCAGGTCCATGTAATATAAGAAATATATTTCTCTTATTTTTTTCTCCTTTACTAAGTCATGAACCCATTTATTATCAATATTATTTTCTTCATGGTAGTCAGGAGTATAATTGATATTATTGTCTTATTTGTCATACTCTTCATATTCGACACCCTTTAATGGAATGAAGTGTTATTGGTGCAACAGTAGATTTCTATTTGATCAATAAAAATGGCTTCATATTAGGTAATATGTGCTACATGTTCTTTCAAACTTTAATTGTTCTTTTAATGATTTTTTTTAGTGAATAATGTGTTGAATACTTCATTTAAATCTTGTGGTTGATTGTAAAATCTCTAAAATCATAAATGTGATTCATTTCACTCTTGTATAGTGCTCAATACCCTTTCATGTTAGGATATCTAGCATTTACTACACAACATTTTCCTAAAAAAAAAGGTTTTATTGTTAGTTCATAACTTCATATAAAAATTCATTTGGATAAATATATAACTAAATAAATTTATGTAAAAAATAATGAATTGTATCTTAGGGAACACACTTTTTATTTCTTCAAGCAGATAGAAAACGAGTGACATGAGACGTATTAGGTCAACCAACAAAGGTAAAAGTGACTAGTATGTCAAAGTTGCACACTAATATCTAGGGGTGTTAACGGGCCGAGCCGAGTTGAGCTTTGGTTTTAAAAGGTTAAGTATGTGTTTAAATGTGTCAGCCTGATCAAGCCTGTTACTTGTTATAAATATAATTATCGGCTTGTGGCCTAACTTATTTACAAAACGTAAAAGCCTTGTTTAGCCTATTTAAAAAAATAAGATAACAAAATTTTATCCAAACAGAATATAATATAGAACAAAATAATTCAAAAAATCTATTTAACCAATAAGATGGGGTGCAATGGATTGAGGAGAAAGAGAGGATTATTACAAGTAGTATAAAAAATATAAATAATAAATAAAAAATAATATATTAGGTCAGTCTGAGAGAGGCTTTAAGACTGAGCTTTTGAATTGGAGCATGAGGCTTTTTTTATTAAACGGGTTTTTATACAAGTCCAAGCATGGTGTCAATAATTAATTTTAGATATCTAAGCTTAGGCCTTTACGAGTTAAGCCAAATACCTTTAGTTTGTTTATCACCCATACTAATATGACATTGTTTTAGATATCCCTTTTACCGTTGAAATTAATTTTTCATGGTTAGGAGGAATGATAGTCACAAGGGATCCATCTATAGTTCCAATGTATCCCTCGAAATAAGGTCAATATCTATGATCATCTCTAATTTTTTATGAAACTTCCATAAACTAAAATTGTGGTGGAAGCATAATATCAAAGCATGTATTACATAAATATAAATATAGATTCACAATTATGCAAATAAGTATTCAAATAAAAATCATTACATTTGTTTACCAAAAAAAAAAATCATTACATTTTATTTGATTTGTAATTATTTCTAAATGATATATGACATTTTGTATGTTGGACAATGAAGGATTGCAAAAGGCCATGGATTATTGTAATGTAATTTTTTTTACGACAATACGAAGCTGAATCCTAAATTCAACATAATTTAGTGCTGATGATGGTGATCGTAAGGGGTGAGGAGAATGCTAACGACATTTTATGTTGCACCGCCAGGCATCAATATAGATATGAGACTCGATATGATTGACACCCAAGGTCGATATGTTAATTCTAAATTTTCGACATGTTAGAAATATGGTAATTAAATCTCGATTTATCATTACGATTTTATATTTTTATATATTTTTTTTAAAATAATTTTACCAATATTTCAAACGCTTTCATTTTTTATGATTTTTTACTCTTTTTTTTTATGTTATGATTTTATATTTTTTGATTTTTTTATTTCTTTTTTGACTTTACGTAAAATCTCAATTTTAACTACCTTCACTTAGGACATATTTTGATAATAAATGATATTTAATATATATAATATAGTTTACATTTAATATATATAATTGTCCATAGTAAGTCATATAAATAATTAAATATACAAGTTTTATAATATAAATATAAATCAAAAATAAAATTTTATGTCAAATTCTATTGTAAAAAATATTTATTTTATAAATTTATTTTTATGTTTAATTAAAAATATAAAATAAAATATAATTTGAATTAAAAAAATGTTAAAAAACGCTGACCACATATCGAAAATATATCGGTGTCTGACATGTATTTTTGTAAAAAAATTGACGTGTTCATTCTTAGACGACATTAATAACCTGGATGAGAAATTGATTAGATTGGTAATATTAATGGCCTTTTTGATTGCCATACGACACGTATGTAGAGTCTTTCACGCGGTTGGAAGGAGTGTGCTACACACGCCAGATAAGGTTGTTCACGGTGTCGAAAGAATCGGCAATCTAGGAGTTGTGTGTGCATTGGTCGATTGGTTTCAGGGTTATGCATATTGTTGGTGCTTAGAGCCACGTGTCCTCCGCAGTTTTCTTTGGTTGGATCATGATTGAAACACAATTAACTCAAAATCTTTTATTATTATAAACTTTTATCATTATTTATGTCTTATAGTAAACTTAACTCATCTAAGTATAATATAATACACAATTTCGATAGTTATAAAAAGAAGTTCATCACTATTTTGTGGAGATACAAAGGCATGAAAAACAAAACAGCACATGATTAAAAATAAAAAATAAAACAAAATCTTAGATATGTCAAGAAAATTTAATTTATTTATGTAATAATTATAAAACGTAATATAGAAATGATATTGTTGATTTTATTATTATAAATTTTGGATGGTTTATATTTAATTCCTCTATATATTTAAAGAGAGGCTCTACTTTGACCACACATTTTGGTTGTTCTCATCTTGTAGCTACTTAAGTTGTAGAAATGGACCATAAAAAAAGTCCTTCATACTGAATATTTGAAGTAATCCCGCAAGTGTCTCACCTCCAATGCATAATAATTAGAGATATGTTTAATTATTAAATATTAAAATTTAATATCATAAAACTAGTAATAACCTAACTATGTTCTTTTTCTTTATAAAAAAAAATGCTAACTATGTTTTAAATTTTAACCGTAGGAACAGAAACCACGAGCTCCAATCCGTGTTCTATTAAATTATGGCTGTCTTTTCTTGATTTGCAAAGACAATTTTATATTTTGTTCACACAACCTAAGCTCACAAAGGGTAAAATAAAGAGAAAAAAAAAAGTCTTGCTTTTCTTCTAACTATCGATCATAACATAGATGTATAAATAACTTAAATTTTAAGAACATTATTATTAAAAAATTAAGATAAGTAAAATTTTAAAATGTTATATATAGCATATAAATATTTCATTGTAATTCTCATCATTTCCAATTGAAACTCGAGAATTGGTTCAGATGGGGGAACGATTATGATAGTGGCATTGATAACATGCTGAAGGCGTACTGGTTTATTATTAACAGGATAAAATCTCAATATTTTTTTAATAAAAAAAAACTCAAAAATTTATGGTAAATTTTAGTTAGAATAAGTTTATATTGTTTTTTTTTTTTTTTATGGTAAGCGAGTTTATATTGTTATTTATTCTATTCTCCGTCGTATATATGCCAATAATCATTATTGAGTGTTGGTAATTTCTAACTGTATTTATCAATATTTTTTGACAGTGTATCATACATAAATCATACACTTATTTCACGTAATTATCTTAGTTTTTCATATATTACAACTTCTTTATTTCTTTTTTTATTTTACATAATTTTGTTTCGTTCTTAACTAGATATTTCACTACAAGAAAATAGGCATTTAGAGGCGGGACTTCTGAGGCGGTTTATATGAAACTGCCTCTGATATACAATCCAAGGCGGTTCTGGCGACCTTTTTTAGGGAGGTCACAAAATTACGTCCATTATGGGCGGTTATCCTATGACCGCCTGAGATTTATTTATAGGAGGCAGTTTATCTGAATTTGGAGGCGGTTCATGTTTAAATGATAAAAATATATGAGATCATGGTTCGAACCCGTACTCCTAAAGTAAATGCAGACTCTGTAACCATTGTGACTAATGGATTATAATTGTTACTTCATACCAATTATTTGTTAAATAGTAACAGAATTTGTAAATTTTGCGGTTCCATCTAGATGAATTGTAATTCTCACGCGTTAA